TAAATACCGAATAGGTTCTCTGGTGTGAGAAACTGAAAGTGTAAATAAGAATCAAAATATACAATAGACAATGTGAAACAGGAAGAAAAGGTCTGAAGGGGAAGAGGAAGTGGGAGGAGTAGGGGAGAGGTAAGAAGGGAAAGGAAAATATATGAGAAAAGGAAAAACTGGAAACAGTCTTTGTAAATAGGGAGGGTGGAGGGATTGAAGGAAGGACAGGGGAATGGGGAAAAAATAGGAACCAAGATATATCATGTAAAGGTACAAATTCCCAATGATGAATGTCATTATATTATATACCTAAAATGTACCAACAAACTTAATGAAAAAACCAGAAATGAACAAACAAAAAGTACAATTTAGCAAGCTAAAATTTTTCAATGTGTATACTCTTTTACCTAAAGAAATAATCACAGAAGAACACAAAGATTTATGATGTTCTACTCAGCATGGCTTAAAATGTCAAAGTGGAATCAATTTTAATATAGAAGTGTTTCTTAATCGTCAGTACCAAAAATTTAAAAATCAGTAATACAGCTATTAAAAATAGACTTTGCACATGCCCGTAATCCCAGCACTCAGGAGGCTGAGCCAGGAGGGTCACCATGAGTTCAACACCAAGTCTGGGCTACACAGTGAGTTCAAGGCCAGCCTGAACTACATAGCAAGACCCTGTCTCCAAAAACCAAAGACAAAAATAATAATAAATAATAAAAAACAGAATTTTTTGCAGTAATTTAAAATGATCATGAGTTCATCATGGTACAATTTGTCATTGTTTACTTATGGGTTTAATTTTTGTTTGTTTGTTTTGGTACCAGGGATCGAACTCGGGACCTTGCGCTTGCGAGGCAGGTGCCAGAACCATTGAGCTAAATCCCTGGCCCAACTTATGGGTTTAATTTTTTTTTTAAGCACTGGGGATTGAACCAGGGCTCCATGCATGCTAGGCAAGCACATGCTCTATCACTGAGCTACATCTCCAGCCTTTATTAGTTTAATCTTGAACAAATGGGGGGTTTTTGTTGTTGTTTTGGGGTTTGTTTGGGGCTTTTTGTTTTTGTTTTGGTACCAGGGATCGAACTTGGGACCTTGCACTTGCAAGGCAGGTGGCGAAACCACTGAGTTAAATCCTCGGCCCATTATTTTTAATAATATTTTAAAGTTAACATTATACATTTTTAAATTATATCCAGAGCTTATGACAATGGCTGGAAAATAAACTGGTACTCCCCTCCATGAAAATAATTGAGCCATACCTCAAAGTACTTTCTAATTTGTGATAAATCACTGGACTATATACTTAAGATTTGTGTAGGAGTTAGGTGTGCAACTAGCTCAGTGATAGAGTACATGCTTAGCATATGCGAGGCCCTTGGTTAAACCCCAGCATCAGAAGAAAGAAAAGAAAAGGGAGGGGAAGGTAAAGGGAGGGGAGGGGTGGAGGGAATAGGGGAGAGGAAGGGAGAGGAGAGGACCGCAGAGGAGAGAAAAGATAAATTCCAAGTCTTCACATTCTCTGACCCAAAGCACACTAGTATAATCAACAAATTACAAATCCCCAATGCTTATTAGAACACAAAGGCAGAGTCAAAAAGGCTGTGATTGACCAATGGCAATAGGCCTCGAATAAGAGGAGAACATCACATTTTGAGCTCTAAGACTCAGGAATAAACTGAGCATGGTATAGGCCTTTAATTCCAGCACTCTGGAGGCTGAAGCAGGAAGACTTCAAGTCAAGCCAGCCAACTTGTAAGACCCTGTCTAAATAAATAAATAAATAAATAAATAAGGCAGGCTGGGAGTGTAGCTCAGTGCAAGGCCCTGGATTCAATCCCTAGTACCATCTCCCAAAATTTCAGGAGTGTTCATTTGGAAAAGGAAATGTCAATTATTTTCCTCATATAATGTAGCAGATTTTTCTAATTTTCAAATAAATAACAGTTTAACAAACCACACACCAGATATCAACAGTAAAGTTCACACACATACACACATGGGTCCACACACACATGCACACACTAGACCAGAATATTCTGGAAAAGTGGTGTTCCAATGTAGAGGAAAGAAAACCAGTTTGGGGCTCAAGCAAAGGGGGGAATTCAAATGCCCAGTCTACCATCTCAGAGTCTTACAATTTTTTTTGTGACTGCGTAGTCTACACTAGCCTTGAACTCATTATGTAGCCCAGGCTGGCCTTGAACTCAGGAGGATCCTCCTGCCTAAGTCTCCTGAGTGCTAGGATTACAGGTGTGCACCATCATAACTGGCTCAGTTTTGTGAATAGTAACTTGAGTCCAACAGCCCACAACAGCTCTGTCACACTTCCCACATTAGAAAAGTGGGGACAAATAACTCCTACTTCACAAGGTTGTCATAAACCTAATACACGTGAAGCACCAAATACAGTCAGCAATGAGTGAATTTTAGGTCTTTGCTATCCCTTTTCTCACAAATGGCAAAAACTTGAGTGGCCAAATTATGCCTAAAGGCAACTGCCATCTTTACTACCACTTCTTCAAAGGTACACTATCAGCCATGTAGACAAGCCAACTGGCTCCACTTTAGATGATCAGTAAGTCTAGGGTAACCATTTTAAGGGGGACCCTTTCAAGGAACTCCACAACCCACTGCAGCAACCAGGCTCTATCCTTTCCAAGAACCTTGTTCCTTCTCTCCTTAGACCTGCTTAAAATGACTGTCAAGAGGGGTGTAATGTCAAGGAAGAGTCACCTTTGTGATCTACCAAAGACGTAGCAATCAAGCAAAAGGCATTCCTTGAAAGCACAAGCTAATGCACTAAACGTCAACACAGCTGGGACACTAGAGGGGGACATGCTGGTGTTATTTTTTAAATGTAAAAATAAAATAAAAAATAAAAGGCTGGGGTATATCTCAGTGGTAAAGTGCTTGCCTAATATATATGAGGTTCTGTGTTCAATCATCAGCACCACAAAATAATAATAAATTAATCTTTTTTAAAACAAGAATTTTAAAATTCATGTACAAGTTTTTATTTAAAATAATAACAATATATAAAATGAATGGAAAGGAAGACTTCTAGGTTCATTAATACAGGGTTACCTTCCATTCACACATGAAACAAAATATAGTAATAATTTACTAATTCCAATCAACTAGGTCCTTAATTCATTTTACTTGCTGCATACTCTCAATTATATACTAGTGAAATTAAAAACCTAAGTAAACAGAATTCCTTACACACTTCTAAAGACAGTATTGCTTCATTCTCTGAAATAAGAGTCAAAGAAAGCAATGTTTCAACTTTTTTTCTCTTAAACAACTTTTCACTAGCTGCTGAGCCAAATAATTTTTTTTTCTGAGACTTTGTTTTTCCATTTGCAACAAGGTAGGAACCCACACTTCCTCCCACTCATCCACTTACAGAGAATTCACAACACTGTTACTAAAATATATTGAATGATGCCTTCCACTGGTCAATTTTTTAACTGAATGCAATAAAAAGAACCTGCATTTCAAGACCTCACTAACAACTACAATTCTTTTCCTATTTAAATTTCCAGTTCTACAGAAAACTGGGTCAGCTCACTAATAAGCAACTGTAACAGTCAAGTAACCATTTTTAAAAAAAGACAAAATACACTTTTAGTACAATGCAAATATCCATTACACAGCACCAAAAACACATGCAAATATTGTCTGCTCTTTCAACATTTTTGTTAAAGATAAAGCTGCTTTTCCAAAGCTAACCAGGCATTCTACTGGAGCCTCACTTAAACAGCCAATTCCTGTATTCTAAGACTACTTCTATAGACTCTAAAGACAACCAGGCCTTGTACTGAATTAACTCTTTAGCTAAGTGATTGAGGTTTTAGAAGTTTTCTAAAGAAAGCATTTTGATCAGTAAGCATACCAATGCTATTCAGAATGTTGGCCAATAAGTAAATAAAATCCTGAACCCAAAATGAAGGAACTTTTCCTCCTTCCTAGCTCCCAGCTCCATTTAAAGACTGTAAACATGAATAAAAAGATAAACTTGAGAAGAGTGAAATTACCCATGTCATCAATCATATCTCTCAACTTATTTACTAATTTTACCCCTGTTCCTAACATAAGACAGTCTCAACAGGACACCAGGAATTTAATACCGCTTTTTAAAGAAAAGATATATCAAACTGCTTGGAATATGCAGTGATGAAAACTGAATACTGCCACTGACATCATATTTACTTAAACATATGCTTTCTCTAAACCAAGCGTCACAAATAAAGCCACAGTATTTTTGGCCTTGGTTCTCTTAGAAGCCATCCCAATAAGATAGGTCACCAGCTGCACTTCGGCTAACAGTTTTATCCTGAGCAACCCCAACCCACCCTCCCACCCCCGTCAAAAGAAAAAAAGTTATTACTTTTATCTGTGGAATTCTCTGCCAGCCTCGGCCTGGAAAACTGGGTGGACCCTGAGGACAGGTGTCAGATCTGGCCTTTGGGAAGTGGCCCCAACCGACAGTTACTGGCAGCATAAAGCTGTGATCTTTGTAAACTTCAATTGGAGGCTTTATAACATTAGTGAGTCCCTCACTCCCTCCATTTTGAAGGGGGAGCCAAAGAAAACCAAAAGGATGAGTTTCAAAATAGAAAAATCACCACTTTAATTATGAAACCCTCCCAACTCAACAAAGAATCATTAAAGGTAGCCAAATAAATGTCTGGGTTTTTTGTTTTTGGCACATGCACAACTCTTAAACATGAGACTACAACTTCAAGGTGAAGGGAAAAGAATAAAAAGCAGGAGTAGAAAAGGGGAGCAGGACAGGGCCCAGCTGAAGACCCACTTGGCTCAGAAGGGCCCCTCTTGGTACTAACTCCTCCATGTGGGGTACCCAGGCTGGAGGAAAGCAGAGGGTTACACAGAACATTTAGCAGACTTAACATTGGATTAAACACACTACTGCAAGTTTCAACAAATGTTCATGGCATACGTAAAAACACATTTACAACAAGAAAGAAGAGAGGCACCTGGAGACATCTGACACTGGGCATGCTCTGCAGGCAACTCAGTGCGCACATGCTCTCTACCAGGTTGGCGCAGCCTAGCCACAAAGACCTTGGCACAGAACACTGCAGGATGACAAAAAGGAAGGAAGAGAAGAAGCAGTTAGAGGCCGCAACAAATCACTCCTTCACACAGGCAACTTGAATGTTAGTTAGGGCAGGGGGTGCACCCGTGGCGGTTTGGAGGTCAGGGATGGTCCTAGGCAGCTTACTGAACCCTTGGGAGAGGGCTCACTTTCTGGCCTACGAACAGGTTTCTGCTGCCAATCACAAATTTCTCAGGATGCAGTGCAGAGAATCAAGAGGGAGAGAGAGATAATGTTTAAATGAAAGCCCACTTAAGGGAACTATGAGTTTGAGTGTAAAACAAGATTAGTGGTGAGACTGTAACTGTAATTGTATAAAAGTAAGGTTTCCCATCTATGTCATATATTCATCACTGCCATCATCGCTTAAGAACCTAGTATGTGACAGGCATTTTAAATGTGTTCCCTAATCCTCACACCACAGTGTAAGGAAACTGAGGCTCAGAGGCTATGTGATTTGCACAAAGATACACAACAAAAGAGGAGAGAGCCAGAATTTTAACGTTAGTTTGTCTGTGGCCAAATCCCACACTCTTTTGACGAGACTAAGACACCTCAATTGTGTAAAACAAGAGAAAAAAATTATCATTCCAACTTTCATTATGAGTACAGTTTTATACTTCCCTAAAGTAAAATCTCATGAGACCTAGAAAATAGGGTAAAAGGAACAAGAAAGATGAGTAAATAGGCCAGTGATAGCAAACCTTTTAGAGCTTTCAATGATACAAACAGCCCACTGCGGCATACATGTCATAGGTTCGCCACCACAGATATAGGCAATGCAAGGGCAGCTTAAAACACATTTGATTTTCATTGTCATCTTTATCTCTGCCTTCTCAAAGAAAAAACTTTGGAATATCACCATTTTCATTTTAGATAACTTTGTTTACAAAGTTCATCTGACAAGACTAAGAATTAAAGGCTTAATTCTTTTACCCTTTCTCATCATTTTTTAAAAGCTTACTGGTTTTAAAAGAATTTAAAAAAGCAAAATATAAAATGAGCATATATATTATGGCTACTATTTAATAGCCATCTAACTAGTTATGATACTCAGTATTTTTCCAGGTCTAAGATTAATTTACTGTCACAAAAAAAATCAATAATCATGCCCCCCCCTCAAAAAAAAGCTGAAGGTTGGGTGCTTGGGTTCAACCAAAATACTCCAGAAATCTTAGACCTCATAAACTGACTCATCCTAGCTGTAATCAGAATGACTAAACATCCTCATTGGCCTGAGGCACTCCTGGTTTCTGTTTATTGTCCCAGGATAACTCTTACTCTCAAAGAGTTCAGGTTTGGGGCTAAATTTTATGATCACTCTAACTATAATACAAAGACAGTTTTGCTTCAAATCTGATAGACCTGGGTTCCTATCCAGCATCTTCCACTTAGTAGTTACAGCTGTCACATAATGTAAAGAAGAATGCTGAAATTATTTAGAAAAGATATTTAAAGAATACAAAATCAGAAAAATAAAATATTGAGCAGCTCTCTGGTAACAATAAAAACACCACACATTCAAAGCTTACCGTAATCCATAGAGTAGCAGTGTTTCACTGATACTCCAGATACACACACTTTATTGCCCCACATTTCATATTTAAAGTCCCAAGCAGAAAAGGTGCTGAATACATTTTTATATAACACAATGAAAGTAGCTGCTGTTTATTGAGCTTCTGTTATTTGCTAGACAGCTGACATAGTGAACTCTCACAATAACCCTTGAAAGATTTCACAGAGCATAACACACATCTTTAATCCCAGCACTCTGCACAGCTGAGGCAGGAGGATCATAAATTCAAGTCATGCCTGGGTAACTTAGCAAGACCCTGTCTCAAAATTTTAAAATTTTTTTGAAATTTTTAAAGGGCTAGGGATGCAGCTCAGTGTGAAGGCCCTAGCTTTAATCCAAGAGAGTGAGAGAAGAGAAGAGAAGAGAAGAGAAGAGAAGAGAAGAGAAGAGAAGAGAAGAGAAGAGAAGAGAATAGGAGAAAGAGAGAGAGAGAGAAGGATAGATATTTTTCGCTTTTTAATTTTACACATGAAGGAACTGCGAATCAGGAAAGGAGAGACTGAGTTATTAAAACAGCAATTTGCCCAGGGTGCAAGGGAACTGATGTCAGAGTTAGGACATCAGAGTTAATCTTGCCTAATTACACTACAACAAATTCTCTCCCCACATGTATTCTAGCACAAACTTATTAAAGGAATATTTATATCAGAAGTGTTTGGGCACAGAAAGGCCTAGACAAATTACATGTTTATATTATATGGATTATTTAATTTAAATAAACTCCCTATCCTTGAAGTTCAATTTAGAGATATTTTGTTTTACAATCTTAATAGTTACACAAATCAAAGAATCAATCAGATCCCAGGACAGAGTTTAAGAATCATCCTTGTATTCAGCAACTAACATCAAATTAACACCAAAGCTCACTTATAAATCAAATTTCATTTATTCAGTAAAGACAACCCAGTTCCCTCTGCAAAGTTTAATATGTATTTGTCTCCGGGTATCCTAGTTATTCTGCTGATAACTTTTTTAAGGGAAATTTCTCACATTCAATAAATTTAAAAATTATAGACTGAGAGCTGGGAGAAACTCTTTAAGACCATTTGGTCTAACCTCTTACCCCTGAATTTTAATTAGAGGTGAAAAAACTAAAGTCAAAAAAGAGGAAAAATTTCCTTTTCAGGGTTTTCTATATTTTAAAAACTATTTTCAATACTCTAAAAACATGGAAAATAGGGCCAGGGATTTAGCTCAGTGGTTTTGCCACCTGCTGTGCAAGCACAAGGACCCAAGTTCTTTCTATCCCTGGAAACCAAAAAAACAAAAAAAACACATGGAAAACAACGTGAAGAAAATTTTCTGATAATTTAATTTCAAAGTATTAAGCATTTATTACAAGTTTGATTTTTCAAAGCTTGATAATGTTGGTATACATAGGAAAAAGATTTTTTAAAGGACCCCCTGAGGGTCTGATTGGCAAGAATTTACCTTTAATATCCATGGCAGAAAGTGTGGGGTATTGAGAACAATGTCAGTGTTTATTGAGATCTATTAAGTGCCAGTACCATACTAAATACCTCCTAAAGGATACCTCAGCTCATTGTCACAATAACCCTACACAATAGGTATTACTTTTCCCAATATTTTAGAAAAAACTAAATAAAAAAAAAAAAAAGAAGAAGAAGAAGAAGAGAAAACACAGGTTCAAAGTGATTAAGTAATTTACTTTTCCAAAATCATCAGTGCTGGGTTGAAGCTGGGACTGACTTAAATCCAGGTCTGGGACAAGAATCACTTTTCAGAACTCTTCCATGGTTTACACTATTTGTTTCAGAACAGAATAGGGCTGAGGATTTAGTTCAGTGGTTTTGCCGCCTGCTGTGCAAGCACAAGGACCCGAGTTCAATCCCGAGTACCAAAAAAATAAAATAAAATAAAATAAATCGGCAGAAGAGAATACACAAAGAGATAGTCTGATCCTAGGTATCACCCAAGCTGGTACTGTGATATAACTGCCAAAATCTATTAATCAGAGTTCTCTTAGATCATCGTAGGAATGGTGCCTCCCAGTTTCAAGACCAGTGTTATTATCCATCTGGTAAAAGTAAAGATAGTGATGGTTGAAAGGTATTAGAACTACCATACATTCATACTCAATTACTAAGGAACTAAGTGACCAACTATATTGCTTAAAAGTGTATACTCAACATAAAATGTCACTCTAGGAAATACACCCATCTTTTCATAAGGAAGTACATACATGCCAGCCTAAACAAGTTTCCCTTTGCCTAATGGATCAGGAAGACATCGATCCAATATGAAAATAACATAAAAATAAAAGTTCCACATTCATCAACCTAAGCATTAAAATGCAGCTAGGACCATAATAATTGATTCTTAAAGCTTCTAATTTTAAATTTAGAGATTTGGTTTGAAAATCCCTGGAATAAACAATTATCCATCATTCCTTACGTAAGTAATGAAAAGATGTCTTCACATTAGCTATATTCACAATGTAGATCTCTCTCCCTCTCTTAGCTAACAGTAGTCTATCTTTAAGCTTCTCTGGACTATCTTATTGTTAAAATATGTCTGTTTGGGCCAGGGATTTAGCTCAGTGGTGCCGCCGCCTGCCCCATAAGCGCAAGGACCAGAGTTTGATTCCCTGACCAGAGTTCGATCCCCGGCACAAAAAAAAAAAAAATGTCTTTTTACCCTGATACTGTGCGTATTTACCAATTTTAACAAACATTTAGCGACCTATTATGGGAACAATACAAACTAAGCCTCTTTCCTCTTGAGGCTTTAACTTGGAGCTCACGAGTGACAAGAAGATCAACATAGGGGATAGAGAACCCCCTAAGGACCATCTGTTATAGTTTCATATTTAGCTACTTACGATGATCGGTACTCTTAACTTTAGGATTGTTCATAGAAAATAAATGATTCACATTAGCTTCTGGTATTAACAGAAAATACACTATGATACTGATTATGTTTGCAGGTCCTATAGCCCAAGGAAATATTATTAACCAAGGGACCTAATAGTTTTTATTAGTTTTGCCATATCCACTATATAATCAAAACCAAATTCAGGACCACCCTGATGCAAAACACTTTAAATCAGTTGAAGACAAGAATAACACCTTTTGGCATTTTTCAAAAGCTAAAAGTTTATTAAAAGAGGAAAGAGAAAAATGTCCTAGGCTCTCTTTCTATTGCCATAGGAACAACAAATCAAAAGGAAAAAGTGGTGGCAGGCACCTTGTCTTCTCATTGGCTGGCTGGAAGAAGTTCTCACAAAAGCTTAACTTGAGTCTGTTTCTAGATGGGACTATTTTGAATCTCCTGCCCTGATTCTTTCTCAAAGAGGCAATTCTTTTCAAAGCAACCCACAGAGGTATTTTATGTTAATTGTCTCTCTAATGTTAGCCTGATTTAAAAATCTGTCTTATTAGATT